TTTGTACGAGTAACTATTTAAAACATAGCATCATTGGTTATAAGTCACTAATATGTAGTTACACATACCTGGAGAATTCCAATCATAATTCTCTTGACCAAAATTAATTAAGTTGTCAATTTCTTCAACGTCTTCCTCTATTAATTGAAATTCTACTGGAACAGATTCACTTCGTATTCTATTGTACCTGTTATACGATCAATTTGTAGCCTAACCATATTTACGTACGAACTAACGAATCAATCAGAATACTTATTACAGTAGTTATGCAGTATTTGTACACTAATTAATATTGCAGATGTTTAAACTCTCAGATTTCAACCAAAAGTAAAAGTAAAAGTTGAAATGACTACTTATGATGTGTTCATGAGAAACTGAATGGAAAATGAATAATTTAATTATTTTGCTTGTAAAAAAATCCTTTCAGATACAAAAATATTGTACTCGAAGTAACCGACTATTTATAACATTGCATATTTTTTGCTGCAGAATTAGAAATACGCATTTTAACTTTTGTTTAGAATTATTTCATTCCTACGCTGTTATGTGTCAGGTCGGAAAAAATTGCAAAGGCAAGGATTTACAGCGTAAATTCTTATTACAACAATGATTCAAAACTAAATCGTTCTAATCGAAAGTTGCAACTCGCGTTATCTACACATATTTGCAAAAATGCGTAACGCGTTTTCATTGTTTAAAATGTTAGTTAAACGAGTGATTCGGGTTCTCGATGCTTCGAACATTACAAATCCTACAATGTTGCGCGTAAAATAATTCGAAAGGAGCTGTTGCATTAAAAATAATTAGCATAGGAGCGCACCACTTACCAAGTTACAATTAAGTTGAGATCATAAGTGCTCCTGAAGTAGAACTCTGAACGATCGAAAAAATTGATCGCCTCTTCTGAAAGATCGGTTCTCTTCATTATGATCATGTAGCGAATCTCCCTCAGCAAATTCGTTAATTCGACATCGAAATTCATTTCCAAAAGCTTGTCGTCCCCGACTCTGAACAACGATTTCGTCAAATGAGTCTCAAGAATTTCCGGAACTGTTTCCGCCCACGCGTTGAAGATTTCTAGCTCCTTCTCGACGATGAGCGTCTTACAGAAATCGATAAATTAATTACATTAATTACATTATTCAGATATCTAAATAACTCTTATATTATATCGATTATTTTATGAATAGCTTTAATTATGATCATTTCTATAATAAAGGACTACGTATATAACACAGACAATTAAATTCGTTACAACTGAATTTCATGGTCTCGTTGATGCCGTTCCGTTATGTTAAATTGTATAGCTTGTTTTAATTTTTAATTGATAGGCTCTTACAAGACAATATACAATAAATGTAAAACTCTGAATAAACAATATAAGGTGCAATATTTATATCGTCAGCTTGAAAAGTTATTAAAGAAAGAAGCAGAAAAAAAACATCGAAGACTGAAATTTAGGAGAAAATCTTGGTGGCGCATTAGCATCTTTGAATCGATTATATTCTCCCAGTTATTTTGATTTGCATTGTAAAGAGCAATTTTAATAGCACTGTCCAACGTCAGTTATTATGGATTTTTGAGCGTTAACAAACGAAATTAGGTGTCTCGATTACGAAACTACGTCTCGTGTAGTATAGACAATACAGATTTGCAGATTTAATGTTAATTACTTCGAGTTCTTGGTATTTGTTTTTGAGCTCGCTTTCCATTTTCGCCGTAATCAGAGGATGGTCGCATAATTTTGCAAATTCGACCGGGAAACGAATTCTTTCAAGCAATTTCATTAACAAGCACAGAGATCCAGCAACAGGGGGAAAGTATTGATTCACAGTCGCGCGTAACATTTGTTGATCTCCTTTCACGAAATGATGATCGAACAAGATCTACGAAACGAAAATATTGCTTTTAACATTCAGCAAAATAATTACGAAGAACGCATTAATAACGCGCGGACAAAAGTTACGAAACATGTTATACAGACGTATATTTATTATTGTGATTTTATTATTTTATGATCACAATTAGTATAATGCAGATTATATAGCTTTTGCGACAACATAGCAAATTAGGTCAGTGAATGCTGATGAATGAATAGTTTCAGCTGAAATTTACACGACCTATATCGTAAAATTCCTTCTCTTTTTCCTGAAATTTCATTAACCGAAGCTGCAAACTGTTTTGCTATAGCTGCGTAATAATCCCTAGTTTTTGTCGCGTATAATGAATGGTAAATACGATGGTACAAGTAGACGCGCATCAATTCGCGTCACGTGAAATTACATGCTATCAAGTTGCACATGAAATACGTGACATCATGGTTGGGATACACTTTTTGCGTCACACGGTAGAGCGTGAAACCTCGAGCAATAATTCTTCGAATTCAAAGAAACTTCCAGAAAATCTTTCACACGTGACAATGCGCGTAATGACGCGACAATGAGAGCAGCCTACACGGTCATAATTCCTTTCCGACAAATTTCAAACAACGGAAGTACATACGTCGGCTTGCTCTTTCCGAATATTACGTGAAATCCCGCGCGATTACGTGTAATCTCAATTTTTGTCGGGGCCACAAAAAATGAGATGTTAATTTTTCAAATATTCTCTTTAACATGGATTTCCTAACAATTCTATTTTCACTCTTCTTATGACATCCTTAGAAATTATAAAATCTGTTATTTTCTTTCTTTTAATAAAAATCGCACCGTGTAGTTATCATTTCTTGAACATGTCATAAGAAGAGTAAAAATACGAATTATTAGAAAATCCATATTAAAGAATATTTAAAAAATTCTTATCTTTTTTGGAAATGTATTTTTGTATATTATTTTATTTTATTATTATTATTACAATTATATATTTTTTATATTATTTTCTTATATTTTTTTATTTTAATAAACGCGGTGGTAATGTCATGATCGTTTAAATGATACGGTTAAAAGTATGGTAATTAGGTTAAAAGTAGAGTAATTTTGACATCTTTCGGTGCTTGTCTCTGCGTTAACACGTTCAGTGCCGAAAATCAACTCTTAAAATTCCCACGAAATGAAAGCAATTTAATTAAGAAAATTGAAACTAGAGTATTAAAATTTATCATGGAGGATGGTATCGTAACCCTTTTACATTCTAAAAATCGTAGTAGAATCCAGCTCGTTCGACTACATATTACAATAAAAATGAATTTCTAAAACCAGCCAAAAAAATTAGTGTCACTCATACGTAGATTGTGGATCTTTATACGAAATACAAATTGTTTGCATCTGTTGTAAAAAAATAGGAGTAACTAAAACTTGCATTCTTTCCTCAATAATTTCAGTAGATCGAAGGTAATGTTTATTACTTTTTATTAAATGTTTTTAATATTTTCATTGTTCCACAAGTACTTCATTATTAGACTGCGGATTTTTATGCAAAATAAAAATTGTCTGGATCAATTGAAAGACATAGAAACTAACTAGCAAGATCATTCTTTATTTAGTGCTTTTAATAGATTAAAAATCATACATTGGCATTCTCAAATCCTTTTCATCTTTTTATTGTGTCAAATTGCATTTACCCAATCTTGCCATAAATGTATAAAATCCGCAGTCTACTCGTTAGAAATACTTATTTTTCTCATAAATGCATAAAATTCGCAGTCTGCTCACACGTAAGTTCTACCCTCAAATAAAAAAGTTAATTAACGTTGTATGAGAGATGTGTAGACATCTCCTGATAAACTAGTTTCCCTAGCGTTTCAAAAAAAGCATCAAGTCATCCGATTTAATGTTTATCAAGTTCCCCCGTTTTTCAAGGTGTCTAAAAATTATTTATGGACTGCTTGCATTCAAGAAACGTAAACTGAAACTGGGAAGCTGTATATAACAGCAAATGACATTTGACGATAGGAGATTAATTACGAAAACATTTATGCAGACCGATAGAGATCTAATGAGGGAACCGGACGTGCATTGTGCACCCACCAACTCATAGAAGTATAATCCCCCGGAAGAAACGTCGGTTCTTTTCTCCGAAGTCATTCGTTAACTTGTTTCAGTCAATTTTAAAATTAGTTCTTCCGATGTGTCGTATCACTTCTTACGTAAATTTTGCGAATGTAAGTGCCTAAATTAATTTTCTACAACAAACAAGCCGTAGTTAATATCTCTATGATTAATCCAATATCTTTTACATAGTGTTGATAGAAGATGGATACTACATGAAAGAAACGACTTTTTTTATATTGCAAACAGTTAAATATTTGTTCATCTATGTGATTATGTACACTGTATTTGGAGTTTAAACTTGCGAAACATTTTTGGGACACCCTGTATAGTTGAATGTTACACCGTTAGTACAGAAACGTGTTTGTCCAGTGATTACAGAGGATACCTATGATATAATTCCGACGAACATTTTTCAATTTATTTAAGAAATTAAATATACACTTGCAGATATATATATAAATAAAAGTTAAGAAACTTTGCATATCGTTAATATTTGAGTAAACAATTTGGGAAGAGGAGATACGATTAGTCTTGCAACCCGTTTTTATAGTTGTTGACAATCGTTAACTATAAAAACGATTTCCCAAATTGTTCATTTTCGTCTACAATCTGAGCGTCAATTAGGGACAATTTACTGTACTCCAGATCATCAGTTCGAAACAAGTAAAATTATAATTTCTTACCTTCACTTTGCTGAAATGATCATCGATTCTTTTAACCACGTTTTCATAGTGACACCACAATTGTGCCATTATCAGAGGTCTGTTTGCAATCGACCCCATCATCCAGATAAATTTAAAGTACGAATCTAAATTGTGACATTCTACTAATACTTGTTCAAAAATTCTGGCCAGACGTCGATCAAATTGCTCCACCTTTCGTATGAAAATAATCTTTCTATATTAATATTTCCGAAAGCCGTTGTTTTTTTTTCGTATCCTCGTTGCTCGTTTTATCGGTGTACTGCTATTTAAAAATAAAAATAGGTTACTTTTGTGAAGAAGTCTTCTAAATCGTTAGTGAATTGCGTCTCGTCGGGTGAAAGAATTTCATAAGGCGCCTCTGCGAAATATTGATACGCTCTATTGAATTCTTCGTAAATTTCGAGAGTCATATTAAGCAGTGATCTCGCCTTTAAACCCGACATTTCTATTCGTTCTAATTTCAAATAGTCTTGAGCAACGTCGAATAACGACTGCAAAAAGAGAGTATATAAAGAAATTATACGATATATACACATATAAATTTGTTTTCGACTTCGATTTATCTACCAGTTCAACAATTAATTAGCACTATTTTTACCGATCTTCTGGGTAATCATCATAGGGAAGATTGAAAACTCAACTCAGGAAAGTTATTCAACTCAGCAAAGAATTTAAAATTGAAATTTCAGAAGGTCTCTTCCGAGCTCTTTGTTGAAAAGAGTGTCCAATTAAAATTTAAAAAAGTGTCTGTTGACCTTTTTGGTAAAAATAGTGCTCAATTAAAATGTCAAAAGACGTCTTTTGACCCCTTTGATAATGGGGTTATTAAACATATTAATGGAGTTAAAAGATGCTTTTTTAATTTAACACTATTTTTTTATATATATAATATATTATATAAAATAGCGTTAAATTAAAAAAGCGTCTTGATATAATCTTGACATTTTAATATGAAATGTATCCAATGCAAAATTATGTGTGTGTGTGCTCTATATGCAACAATTGTTATAATTTACAGAATTTTGTGGATGTTCTTGTTCAGTTGGAATATCCAGTATCGACTATACGCCATCAAAAAATAAATGTTATCTAACCTCGACTTCCTTAAGTCTCTTTTCAAACTTGTGGATCCTATCGAAAACTAATTTTTCATGGAACGTCCAAAGTACAGGATCACTAGGCCCTTTGAAATAAATCTCGACTTTTTCCTTGAAATATCGAAAGGTGTCTTGATAGTTCTCAAGAACGGGCGCGACTTCCACAATCTTCGCTTTATTTTCATCGATATCTGCTTCGAATAACGTCGATGGATTTATATGCTTCACTGACTGCAACGAATAATAGTAAATTGCTTTACCTAAAGGAATGTTTCGTAACGTTATATATTTCCCCACATCTTCCATGTACATATTATGGTAAAGTGATTCTTAACACTATTTTACCGAGATTAAAGATTACCAATCTTTCGATGATTACCAAATTAATTTTATAGTTGTTATAATAAGACAAGTTGAAAAGTTGTCTGAGAAAGGTGATTAAATTTTGAGCAAAGAATTCAAAATTAGAATTTTAAAGGATTCAATTAAAATTCCAAGAAGTTTTGTTGAGAACCCCTTTGATAAAAAAAAATAATGTTAAATTGAAATGCTAAAATTTTTTGGACCCCTTCGGTAACACACACAATAGTGTTCAATTAAAATTCGAAAAAGTTTTTGTATCCCATTGGTTAAAATAGCGATATATTAAAATTTTTTAATTTCCGTTTTAACTAACAATATGTCACTGTTCAAATAGAATGTTATTGGCACAAAATAAATTTCTGATTATTTCTTCCTTGTCAATAAAATTTCTATTTTCCATTAAAATAAATATCTCTTTTTGAAATAAATATCTGCAAACAATCGAATGTTAAAAATAAACCTTGCTTACATACACGAAAAGTTTAATGTAACTTTAACTACAAAATTGTACTGCTTTCCAAGCCACTCTAGAGCGGAACGTTACGAACGAATGAGTGCAACCCACTATGTTAATTTATTCACGACCAGCGTCAAATACGTGTGACGATCACGATTTTGCGTTTTACATAAGGAAAGTCAGATTAACGTTATACAGGTTGTAATTCAAAACTATGCTGGATAACATGATATTTATCGAATCTGTCACTATCTTCGTTCACATTTCCAAGAGAAGATACATTGCACTTGATGAATAATTGAAACTACCGAAGGCCGCTACCGAAACAACTGGTTTGTAGCGATCATGTTAAAAATTATAATTGATACATTGCAGAAATTAAGTAAGCCTGCTTTCTAGAAGTCAAACAGGCAATTTGTATTCCCACGATCAACGAAGCCAGTTGCACTTTAATCGCTAACCAAGTCCATTACGTTTTAGGCAACTTTCACTTTCATACCCCTAATATTTATTATAAGATTAATTGAAACATGGTGAATAAGCATTAAATTCTCTGTATTCCTTTTCGTATTTTTCATTAATAAAATAAAATGTTTAAATATCGAGAGTTACTACGAAATAATTTAAACATTTCTGCAATATTCATATTCAATGCACAATTGTCTCAAATTTTTTGTGATTTATCGACAAATACAAATGAAGCCCTTGCAGAAAATCGTATATAAAAAATAATGTTAGATTATTCTGAATACATGAGAATTTAATTTCACCAAGATAAGAAATGATAGATTAAAAGTGATAAATAATTTAGAGATATAACGTTTTTTTAACTGAGATACAATCTATAGTTCAAGATCGCGTATATTGTCAATGATAACACATCAACTGGAACATTTCAAATATCCAAACATCAGCAATTAGCATAACTGTTGTAACACGCAAAATACAATCATACGTTTTACAACAGTAACAATCGTAAGTTTAATGCAGCAAAATTTGTTTAACCTTTAATAGAACACTTTTATAGAATAAAGTTATTTAAAATAATGACCTTTATAGCATATTTGTGCTATGATGATATGAGTGTCCAGAGATGTTGTAAGCTCTTGAAAAGTGTGATTCCTGAGATGATTTGCAATAATTTTTTCTTTAGCGAAAATATTCTCTGCGACTTTGTGAACGAGTCATTAAGGAAAACTGTGGACCAATCAGAAAGCGAGTGCAGTTGTGGCTGATTGGTCATGCGTTTTTTATTAATAACTCGTTAACAAAACCGCGGAGAATATATTTTCGCCGAGGAAAAAGTTACTTCGAATAATCTCAGAAATCGCATTTGAGACACTCCGTAGTTTATTGTCTATAAAATAATTATGTTAACTGCATTATGTTAACCTACGTTATCGCAGTTAACTTACCTGTCGCATTAAGAGTTATATACCTGAGATATCAGCAAATTTGAAATTTCTTGTAACAGAGCAATCATTCTTTCGAGGGTGTAATATTTTGCGTTCGCCCACATTAAACAGGCGCAATGTAACAGTGTTTTCAACTTGACTGACAGATCCTTGAACTCGCAGCTCTCTACATCTCGAAAATTGTGCTCCAATGGTTTCAGATACAAATTAATATCCCTGGTTTCTAGTAGCGCTGAAATTGAAAAACTCGTTCGACAATAATAGTGGCTTGAAACTACGTGTCTTATAGCTGTTTTTCTTTATACTACCGGAAGGCGACGAAATATAATCTGTCGCTAATAACAGAGTAGTTGATGTAACCTTAAGGAAGCATTTAAAAAAAAAATGTACAATCAACATTACGTAAGCAAAGTGTTGCATGCACGCAGATCAATCTCATGCACGAGACTGTGGGATGGTTTCTTGGTATCATATTGCCTCTCACAATTAGTGCATAATCTGTAGACAATTCATTAACCCCGAAACCACCTAAGAGGAGGCTCCTTGAACCCGCAAAATGAATATCGTCCAATTAAAGCTATTTTCTTTCAGTAAAGATTCTTACAAATTTACTTATTGTCATATACGCATTTTTAGAATTGATATTCGTTAAGTTCTCGTTGCTACATATGCAAAATACTGTGCCCATGAAAAGAAAGAAAGTGTGAGCTGTTACGTGCGAAATATCCTATTTTATAATACCCACGTTTTGAACGTTTTGATTAAGAAATGGTATTACATTGGTAAATGTATTATTATACATATAAGCAATAGAACTGCGTTAAAAAGAAAATATACATATACATATATTTTTTCCTTTTTCAATTCTTTTCAGAATTGCGTTAAAAAGAAAAAAATGTATGTACATGTATATTTTCTTTTTAACGCAATTCTGAAAATCAACACTCTAACAATGATTCATAGTACAAATATAATTAATTGTATTATCAAAGAGGAACATTTAACAAGAGTGTTGTGAACAATTATAATTGAGTTAAAATAACTAATATAATTAATTAAATTAATATACCTTTTTATTGAAATAATTAATATAATTATTTCATATATAATTAATACAATTAATTCACATATAATTAATGTAAATATTAAAATTATATTAGTTATTGAATAACGATATTAATTATATTAATTATTTCAATAACTGTACGGAGCACGCCGAAAACAACTCTTGACGAGTTAGACTCATCAATGTCTACATGAAATGAATGACGATCTAAACTCGTCATTGTATATTAGATGATTAAGTGTTAATTTCAAGAACTCCGGAAGTTTACGGTATAGGCGATTATAAACCTTTTTAACGAGTTGATCATTGCCCACCATAAATTTCATCAAAACGGCCCATTACCAACGTGATCAAAGCTGTCATAAAATGGTCCCTATTTTGACCAGATATGGCTAATGACCTGGGTCTCTATTAAGCTAACTGCGTGCATGCAGTCGGGGACTTTCTGGTGTCTGAGTCCGAAATAATTTGTTTCGGCTGAACAAAGCTTCTCGCAATAAACTGACAGCCGACCGCCGCACGCAATAAACATTGCACGAGGGTAGAATGTTTCGCCGTCAACAATAAATAGATATTTTCGAGTGTAGCACTTCAGCACACACACACTTCAGCTTTACATGCGAGTAAAAAATAAATATTTAAGAATAAACATAAGTTGAAACTTTAAACACGCTTTTCTTCTTTTTTTCTTTTTTCTTATCTCGAAAAGTATTGTATTATTTTGAGCGAAATTTTGCGCAACCTTTCTTGTGCGTATGGGAAACTTGTCCTTGAACGAAGGATTTTTTTCTGTTGATTATTTTGGTTTGTATAGCCTAAAAACCTAGCTATTTCTCATCAAAAATTAAAATTTGAACGCTTGGGATTTTGTTAAAAATTAAAATTTCGAAAAATTTTTCGTTCAAGGATCAACTAAAGAGATATTTTTCGTGCATGATTTCAAATGAGCGTTGACCGAGTAAAGTTGACCACTGCGAAGTATGTTCTTTTGGAAAGCTCTCAGACATGTTTAAATAAAAAAAATACCATTAGCAATACAAGGCCTGATCTTTCAAATAAAGGAACACAGGCTGAAGAAGGTCTTTAAAATGTTGAGAAAAAAATTCCAAAATGGCACCATTCATTTGTGCTACAATTATGACAGTCAAATGAAGATTACTGACAAAGGAATTGTCTTTCTTGCAAGTTGTAAATAATATTTTTGGAAGATAAATAATCTCTGTCAGAACGTAGAGATTACCTGAACAATACTTGATCTAAATTGGACGAGTATAATAAGAATGACTCGGAAATTGCAAAACACACCTGTCTTCAATTATACACTAATAAAGAAACTAATTGCGATGTCAACATGATACAGCGAAACATGAGATTCGTCTCACCTGCTTCACATCTTGTGAGTATTCAAATCAGGGTATGTCGTTTGTTTTATAAATATAGTAAAATTATTGTAAACGGAAAATTCATTTAGATTACTCAGAAATCACGATCTAACTATTATTAGGTAATAATGCTTATTACGTACATGCTGCAACGTGCTTGACCAAATTTGTAAAATACTCCGAATAAGGACTTTCCATTTGTTCCAAAAACATTCGCATGCTGACAACTCTCGGATCTTTCAATTGTTGGTAAAGCGATTCCATGTTCTTCAGCCTCATGCTCCAATAATTCAACTCTGAAACGATCGATCGATTCAACAAAATTAAAACGATTACTTGTGCATTTATCATTAAAACGTATAGATGAAATACAGAACTGTAGGGACACTCGAAGAACTTAAGACACGTCGTCACATGATTTTGAACTTATTACGTCTATTAAAAGAGAAAAGACATTCTCATCGAACTTGTTCTTTTTTACGATCAACTTCGACAATTTTTATTTTGCATCAATATTTGCTGTCCAATAATCGCAAATATATCCCTTCATATTTTCGAAAATTGTTACAAAAAAATAAATCTGCGTACACTGTATATTTTGGAATATGTTGAAAATTGCTATTAGCAGTCTGCGGATATTTATGCAAAATAAGAATTACCATCGTCACTCATATCAAACAGAAAGCAATGCTGCAGTATCTTGAAATTCTTCTTCTGTCTTCACAGCCCTGTGTTTCGTTTCTGCATTTTTGCTGTAAATGCGCAAAAAGTCCGCAGTCTAACTATTAAAAAAGATCTGAGATTCTCGCCTGAAATAACTCAGCTATTTTTTGAATGGTCCCAGAAAATGTGTGAAGAAAAAATCGTTTGATTCAGAGGGGGGCGAAAAATCTTTTCTGACGTAATAATCGCCACTCTAAGTGGAACGTCTCTTTCCTTACATATTTTCTCAGATCATTAAAAACAACGGCATACTTTAGGTGAAAATCTTAAGTAATCCATACTTTTACGATGTTAAATAATATTTTACACGTTGGGAACTGACGTTTAACCTTCCGTTCGCGCACGTCATCGACTGTCAAGGTTCGCATCACATTTTTCGTCAAATCTGAACCCGAACGAGGTTTCTCGTATTATTTGCCATGAATATGTAACAGTGACGATATCGTTAGAAAGTTTTGCTTGATTGATTGAGATAAACTGTTTTCGTATTCTTCGTGTCGCGTTGCAGCAGTGAAATGTTCGTGGCGAGTCACTGCCTGGGTTACGTTCCATTTATACAATAATTCAGTCTGGACGTTAAACGAATGGTCCTTCCTTTCTCCGCAGGAAGAAGGACACATTGGTGCCGTTGCATACGAGACACGTTTTTCAAGTAAAGCCCGCATTCGAATGAAAATAAAACAAGATTAAAAGAAGCTTTATTCGTATAAATAAATACAACACGCAAGTATTATATTTTTTTATGTAGTCTGCAACGGTATCGAACGATATAATTTACTTATTACATTCCTCTAACAATACATTTCACCGTTTTACCAGTTTTGTAAGGTCGACTGGAAAGCATTCTATCGCATGAGAATTTAAATGATCGTGTGAATTCGATCATGTAAATCAACCCCCTGCGCGTGCAGACAATTAAATTTAGCTCAACTCTATGCGAGGAGTTGTCACGAAATAAAACTAAAATATTTCTGCTCTTTTTTAAATATATTCATACAAATGTGGACACTATTTCATTTGTAATAGAACAGATCAACAAGACAATGCTGATATTAAATAAAGATTGAAAAATATCTTTTTTAAGTTTACAATGAAATTAAAGAAAAATAATCTTAACACAATTGAAATTATCGTAAACCAAATTTCCAAACTATTTAAATTCCTTTTTAATGTTGTATCTTTTCTAATAATGCATACAACGCTATCGACGCAATTTTAGATAAGAAAAAAGGAAATGTGAAGATATCATAATAATTTTTTGTTGAACAGTTAGAAGAAATTTGTATGATTAAGAAATGAAAATGCTTTAATAATTTTAAGGCAGTTATCATTTTTTAACTCCTTACATATTTTAATGGGCCGTAAAGTCGTAAACAATTTTCGGTTAGTTCGTGATTTATAAGCCACCTTATATTATTATTTTAGAAGGATCAATATAATTTACCAGATTGTTCTGGTATAGGAGGTCCTGTCCTCTTGGTGAACTCCTCATTTAAGATCTCATTAATTTGAGTCGCCCATTTAATTACGATCTTCTCAATATTATTTTTCAAGTCCAGCGTTTTAGGATTAGTCGGAGATAAATTTTCTGGCTGAAGAATATCCTCGATACCCATTGGCATAGGAAGTAAGGTCTGACCTGTTATTTTTCCTTTGACCTAAATAATTCATTTCATTATTAAATAATGAAGAATAACAGTCTTTTTTCGAGAAAATTTTTTAGAAAAATAGAAATTTATTTAATGTAATTATAAAGAAATTTCGTAAAATAAATCGTAATTGAGAGATACAGTCCTGTAAAAAAGAAAATAAATGAAGCAAATGTAATGTGTATTTACTATCGTGTTCTACGCATATTATTATATAATATATATATATATATATATTATGTAGTCAAAATTATTCCTTAAAAAGCAAATTAATGATTCAAAGAGCAATTTCAAAAAAAACTTTATATGAATTAAAAAATTGTACAAAGAAAGAAAGTCGCATATACTACTGTGATCAAAAAGTAAGGTGAAATTGTCATTTAAAACTCCCGGACATTAGGAAGGCAGGCAATTGTTTTTTTCCTAGGTTGGTAGGACTGTCTATAACAAATGCCAAGAGCGTCTGTTTGTTAAAAGGTTTAATTATTTCCGAGTTACACCTGTTTTAGTAAACGACCAAAAGTGAATTTTTCGATTTTTACAATGGGTGATTTTGTTGAGCAAAGAACTTGCATCAAATTTTGTTTACGGAACGAATATTCTTGTGCGGACACGTTGAAAATGTTGCGGAAGGCCTTTGGTGATCAAACTATGGCAAAAAAAATGTTTATAAGTGGTACAACGAGTTCAAAGCGGGCCGAGAACGCGTTGAAGACGAACCGCGCTCTGGACGACCATCAACGTCTACCGACGAGGGCCACGTCCAAAAAATCAAAGATTTGGTGCTTGAAAATCGTCGATTGACAATAAGAGACCTCGCTGATAGTGTTGGAATATCATTTGGCTCAG